CCAGTCGCCTCTCTCTCCTTTCCAAAACAGGAAACTCCCCTCATCAACGCTCCCTACAGAACCACATAAAAGAGAAGAGGAAACGGGGAAATGAAAGCACTGAGAGGGTACCCAAACGTCCCAAGTGTGGTCTCGTTGGTATGGGTTACTGTCACATGTCCGTGCAGGTTGTCCAGGAAAGTACTGTCCTGACAGCCAAGGAGCAGCCCAGAAGAAACAAGCTAAGTCGCACTCACAGACTGAGGCAGCAAAGTGGGAGCCCAGCAGGCCTGGTGAACAACTGTGAGCCGGGCTCCGGATTGATAAATTGCACAGAATCTTACTTCCAGTCTCTCAAACCCTCTGACATTCTCCAAAGAGGTAAACTTGACATATGCTGATTGTTTTTTTGAACATATATACTTATGGCATGTTTTATATCCTTTAAATTGCAGGAACATTTCCCCCCTTTTGTCTAGATTACAGTTTTGAGGATATTCCCTGGACGGACAAATACAGTCCTCAGCATTCAAGTGAAGTCGTTGGCAACTCTGCCTCTGTAAATAAACTGCAATGGTGAGTTTTCTATAAGTAGCCCCCTGGTTCTTTCACTGATACATTGGACCTGAAGTAAGTGTGGTGTTTCTCTGGAATTCAGTTGGTTGAAGAAATGGAAACTAAGAGCTGAGTGTGACGAGAGGAGAAAGATGGAGGAAAGGAAACAAGAAGACAACAGTATTGGTATGGGCTGGCATTTGTCACACTTTTGCTCTTGTATATCAGCTCAGGGTCATTTTTAATGTGGTTTCTAATTAGCCATAACCAAATGGCTTATTTTTGGTAATCCACATGACTATAGAGTTATTTTACTGACTCAAGATTTTACAGAATTTTTGATTTGTGGGATTTTCAGTTGGTTAAGTAATAACTGTCCTCATGTGCAGACTCATGGGACTGTGGAGACTTCCAGGGTGAGGCTGGGGCAGAGGACGACACAGAGGAGCCGCTGTGTAACGCCATGCTGATCACGGGACCTCCAGGTGTGGGCAAGACTGCCTCGGTGTATGCCTGTTGTCAGGAGCTTGGCTTCAAGGTTGGAATCAAACTTGACCATTATCTTTGAGTCCATGCTGACATATTTCAAGTCTAATCCAAAGTAGGCTTTGAAAGATGCCTGAGATGAATATAAAACAACTGAAAAAGGTTAAGGGGTTCACACATACAACCAGTTTATATTTGACCATAAAAACGGTTATTAGGGCAATTTTGAAATTGAGTCTCAAAATGGATTACTCGTCAAATGTTGATATTTTGTGGCCCGTACCACAGGACCAAATCATGAGTTTCACCAGGTTCTACATTGCTTACACGGCAATGAATCATCTGGACATCACACTTACATAAGAGGATTTATCCTTTAATTTGTCTTTTTCCTTTTCATCAAAGGTATTTGAGGTAAACTGCTCCTCACAGCGGAGCGGCCGCCAGGTGCTTTCCCAGCTGAAGGAGGCTACCCAGTCCCACCTAGTGGAGATGTCGGGGAAGGACCCACTGAAACCAACTTATTTCAACAATTACAGCTGCACTCCTAAATCTGAGACTTTACCTGGTAGGACGTAATAAGAAGCATGCAAATAAATGTTTTAAATATAGTATATTATACAAAATCCTTCCTAGCTTACTTTGCAACATTGGAGATTGTTTTGTGAAAAAGTGAAAAACCTAATGTTGTCAGGTTTATGTAGTGTTTCGGTAGACAGTAGTGGAGGTCTCAATGTCATATAAACATATTTTACAGGCCTTTGTGTTTTTTTCTTTAACAGGAAAAGCAGTGCCATCGAGAAACGTCACTTCTAACCCAAAAAAGAGAGCAGCACAGACCTTTGGCCAATCCAGTCGCAAAGGAAAAGCTAACCCAGCCACAGTCACTTTGGCCAACTATTTTAAGATGAAGGCCAAAGCAGATCACTTACACTTTAGTGGCCTGTCGCCATCTGAAAAACCAGACAGCAAGAAATCCGGCAACCCATCACCAGGCTGTGATCAAACAGTGCCACAGAACAAAAAGACAGCCACATCACTCATTCTGTTTGAAGAGGTAAACCATTCAGCAACCCCACACTGTAAGACATATAATTTAATGGCTATGAGAGGGCACACAACCTGTGTTTGGTCTGGGCTGATCCATCTGCAACTGTCTACTCTCCCAGGTTGATGTCATATTTGATGATGATGTTGGTTTCCTCGCAGCCATCAAGACTTTCATGACAACCACTAAACGACCAGTCATTCTGACCACCAATGGTAAACACTCACACTGTGTAATTTTGAATAGAACAGACTTGAGAACAAGCTGTGATGCTAAATAAATGTCTTCCTTAGATCCCTCATTCAGAGAGAGATTCAGCTGCGGCATAGAGGAAATCATTTTCAAAACCCCATCAGTGGTATGTTTTTATCACTACACCTTTGTACATCATCAGTGTGAAATCATGTTTCCTGAATTAGGTCGCACTTGGCTGCACTATTAAAGGCTCCACACACATGTAGAATAATTAGTGCAAATATAAGCTGGATTGGCCCAGTTTGTCATAAACTTACTCCATCTATTCCAAGGAGAATGTCTGTAGCTACCTGCAGCTGGTGGGTCTGGCTGAGAATGTGCGACTGGAATTGGACGACGTTAGCAGCCTGATCAGACTTTTCAGAGGTGACGTCAGGCGCTGCCTGCTGCAACTGCAGCTGTGGGTGCAGAGTGGTAGAGGACGGGCGTCTCAGAGTGGAGGCTCGCCTAAGGAGCCTACACATGTACAGCGTAAGTTGTTCTAAATGAATCACAATCATGATGTAGATTTTGTTACCAAAAACATTCAATACCAGCGCTGATTTGCAGGAATTTTCTCAATTTCCTAATATAGGCTCAAATGTTACTGAAAGAGGAGACAATGCAGACTTCCAACATCCTCAATATGACACAGGCTGCACTGCTAGCATGCTGGGTCACCCCCCTGTGAGCCAAAACCAACTGCGTAACCTTCTAAAGGCAAGTCCTGTCATCTTCACTGAGTGTATATGAAATCCGTAAACTTATATCTAAAGAAAAATTAACTTCATCTGTAAATATTTTTTTATTTTTCAGTGTGGGTACTGGACTGAAATAGACATGCTCAGGCTCCTGAGGCTTCTAGCTGAGAGCTGGAGAGGAGGTGTGCCTCTTCTGTACTCCAACCTTGAGCTCCTTCTTCCCATCGAGGCCAAGGAAACTTCAGTCCACATCGTGGGCAGGGGGACTTGTTCTGGGCTGCAGAGTGAGCTGGCGCTGTCTGACATTGACCTTCAAATCCAGCAGCTGGATGGAAATGTCAGTCCAAAGGCATCAGCCACCAACAGCATATCTGTCAGGAGTAACTCCACGCTTAGCAGGGGGAAATATGACACCACATCATCTTCCAGTTTGACACAAACTCCTCCAAGACCATCATTATCGTCAAAGAGGGCTCATTCAAGAACCTCTAGTTCAAGAGATAAGACTGAAGAAAATGCAGCCAAAGTGACAACCTACTGTTTGGATGCCTTGGCTGACTTCTTTGACCTCATGTCATACCTTGATGCCACAATGCCAGCCGCAGTGCCGCTTGTTTCGGGCTCATGCAGACCTGAGGCGTTTGCCTGGACAGGAGCTGGGATAAAAGATGGCTTGTTGGATGAGATGAGCGAGGAGGAGGGGGGCAGGAGTTGGAGCCAGGAGAGACTGGCAGAAGTCCAGGCTGTTGTTGAGGGTTTGGGGTGTCACAGGTGCTGTTGGCAGGTGTCCAAGGCATGGACTGAAGTCCAAAAACACAGACAGGAACTGGGAGACATAAGCTGGGGGAGGCTGGTGGAGAGACTGTCGTTGCCCGCCTCTTCCAAAAGACAGAGCTTCCGCTTTAGTTTTCAACCTCTGTGTGCACCAAGGTGAGTCTATTCACCTTCTCAATACTGATTCAAATTATTTACCTGTCACTTCAGTCTGGATGCATTTGGTGTTTTAGTAAAATATATAGTATTTTCCATTCATGCAATGGCTTACCTTAATTTTCTGGAATCTGGGAAAGGACACAGTCCACATAATCAGAAGAATGTCTGTTTTTCCCCATGTCATACTGGTGCCTGTCCCCTCCAGTGTGTCCCAAAGGAGGTACGAGCTGAACAGGACAGTGCTTGGCAGTGAATCTTTCAGCCTGCTGGGGAACAGGCAAGCTGTCAGTGTGGACTACATGCCAGTCCTCCGTTACATCTGTCGCTTTCAGAGAGAACAGCAACAGAAAGAGGAGCCAGTCAGGTGAGCCAGACACACCATTTTAATTTCATTTAAAGAGGCAGACTGTCATCACTTCAAATAGCAAATCATATAAAATGATAGCACTGTTTTTTAACTCCTTTACAACAAACCCAGCCACATCATGGTAGTCAGTGTTAACCGTGAGGTAGATGATGGTAGTTTTTAAGTATTTTAAACCACACTGCTTCCTCCTGAATTTATAATATAATTTATAATAGTTTTTGTTAGATCAGAGCCAACAGATGTTATCATTTAAGTCTTCCATTTGAATTACTGTTGGACAAAATGTTAGTTCCAAGTATTGAACCCTAATTTGACTGTTTAATGTAATTTTGTAAAAAAATATGACCCAGTATTTGCAGAAACAAAATTAAAATGTCTTACTCCTCACATTAGGTTTCTGAAGTACCTCAGCAGATTACACCTGGGTCTCTCAAAGTCAACTATTCAACACCTGGCAGAAGAATTCTCAGAGCGAAGCTCACATCCTCACTACCTCACCTTACCCTAGTCAGTATTTATTCTACTGTGCATTCATTTTACCTGAATTACTGTCCCCTTCTAAATACTGTCAAATGAATTTAATGCAGTTGAGATGAGAAATCAAGTTTTATTTTTACATGTATGTGTGAACCATGAAAATAAAATAAAATGTATTTTTATATAAAGGACTTTGATTGTTCAGGTGAGATCAGTACAGTTTTTTTTTTTTTTTTAATTATTAGTCTTTGAAAGGTTTTAAAGAATATGTATCAAACACAAACCAACAGGAGTGAAAATCCTCAAACAGCAGGAAGATGGCAGACAGCTATTACTTTATGCTAGTGTCCAAATCGAACAAGTTCGACAGCGGTAATAACACCGTAGCAACACTCACGTTTCCCAAAAAACAGTATCCAAGTTTTTTTTGTAACAGTAAGAAAATTTAATATTTTAACCATTACCATCAACCACTACCAAATCTGTTCATATGGTCACTGTCCTAAGTGTTATCTCGGGAAGTATGCTTTATGTAGAGCGTAGCCGGGGCATGAGATCGGTCCATGAGATCGGTCCATGAGATCGGTCCATGAGATCGGTCCATGAGATCGGTCCATGTGGTGGCTAACTGGAAGATTCACTGAGCAGCTCGTAAAAAGCCACAGCCTGAAGCAGGGCGTCACAGAGCTCCTCCCCTCCTCTTCTGCTGCCCATTTGGAAAGAATTCCTGTGCTTCACCAGCAGCTCTGGGGGGAAGTTTATCCTGGGAAGCTTCTGTGTCACCGACTCAGTCATCAGCTGTCGCACCGTCTGTGCCCCGCTGGTCCGTGACTCGCCTACCATGAGTCCAAAGTGACGTCCAACAGCAGTACGCATCATGTTCAAAACTCTGCAAATGAAGAAAGGAAATTGTGACAAGTCATTTCATGAGCCGACTTCAACACGGTTGCCACAAAAAAAAGATGTTTTTTTATTATGAAATCCCCTTTTCCCACCTGGGAGGAATGTTGGACTCTGGTGTTGAGTTTGGTGGCTCAAGCAGGGCAAACAGCATGGCCTCCACAGTCCTCATGTGGGCCATGATGGGGAACAGGGCCGTATTCTGGACTGAGATGGAGGATTTCTCTATTATGTAGAAGTCTGCTGGCGGGAGGAGTGCCACAACTGCGGTGACCTAATGGCAGAAAAGAAAAACTACATATTGTGTGGCTGTATACGGGTTTACATTCTGTACTGCAAGTTCCAACCAAATGTTACTAACAAGTTAAAACACAAAGATGACAGCTTCACCTACAAAAAGTCATGAGATTAGTCAGTGTGTTATGTAATAACATGGACTCTGGATGGTAGTCTTACGTCATTCAAGTAAGCCGAAGCCATGTATGTTCCCCTCAAGAAATTTGGGCATTCCAGCTGTTGCCAATCAAGTACCGTCATCCCACGGTTCACATGAGTCCAGGCGATCTTATTAGTCCCACATACTAGTGACACAATGGAACTTGCTTCCTGAGTGAAGAAATACAGAATCATGACAGGTGGTCATAGTGAATTATCCTGCTTTCTCATTTTACATGTTAACATTTTGTTTTACAATTGAAATGAGATAAGAACACGGGATCTATCACAGGGAAGTCAAAGGTCAGGGCGAACTAGCCAACAGGAGTGGGGGCCGTCTTGCCCTACACTCCGCTTATGTCACGTGTCAAAGTCAGTTTGGAATATCTTCTGTTTGTGGAGAGTTTTGTCAGGAAAGTTAACTCAAGTGACTTTACTGAGCTAGGGGACAACATGTACACAAATTCTGTGTTACAAACGGGGTGTTTGACAGGGATGATTGTTACTGTGAGAAATGTAGGATGCAGCATTTTTGCAACTTAACCCATACTAGGGACTATAGGTCAGAATATCTCTTCCTCTGCTGCATCATTTGTAAATTGTATGAGGACCCCTTTAAGCATCTTTAACTGACCCAACCCCACAGTCTAAGGCGGATGCTTGTCAACACAGAGACTTGAGCTCACATCCCCAAGAAAAAAAAGACAAGTCTTTCCTCAGCCACCCTGGTTAAGTTATGTTTATAACTCTGGCTTTACAATATCAAATTTTTGATTTAAAAAAATAAAGTCAAATATAAATGAAGCACCCTGGTGCTGCAGAGACACCCCCTCCTACAAATCATATTCTTCAGATGTAAGGGATGATCAAAGTTATTGCAATGTGATTTTCTTTTTGCATATCGTCCAGCCCTACTTTACAATAAGCTTTTATATCAAATAATGACAAGGGCAAGTGAGTGTTGACCAATAGACATGCACAGGATCAGAACCGCACCTCCAACCAGGACCGGTCAACCTCTGGCCTGATAAACTTGGCCAGCTGAATCCTCACTTTCCTCTCTTTCTTCACCGGGTTGAGGATGGAGTTGAAGACTGTGACCGCACTTTTGTGTTTCAGCAGCGGCACATTCACCACACTCTCCAGAGTTTTAAAGGGTCCGTTTTTAGTCCTGTACTCCACAATGTTGAGCGACTTGCGGCCTCTCAGGAGCTTGACGCCGGCCAGCACCGACGGAGTGGCGGTGTTGAGCAGCTGGAGGATGACGTCTCGTTGCTCGGAGGTGTAGCACGCATCCAGCGGTCTGCTGTCCTCTTTGCAGGGCTGAGAAGAGGAGGAGAGGGTGGCGTCCAGGGTCTCAAAGCCTGCCACGGGAACCCGGCTCCGCCAGCAACATGTGCACTGCAGGTACCGCAGCTCCAGCTCAGGGAGGGAGCCGTGCTGAGGGCGACGGAACAGGCCGAACTGTCCTGCGTACAGTCCTGCAGGGGAAATACGAGAGGGAGCTGACTGGTGACAATCTGAAAGAATGCGACCTGTATGATCTCAACACAAATGAGTAAGAGAGTCCTGGTGTAAGTTATTGTGGACTTAACAAATAACGTTAGATGTCGGGCTTAAATAGTGCATTAATTCACAAAAAAATGTCAACTGGGGATACTAACAAACTGTAAACGCTGAAGTTAGTTAGCAGTTAAAACTAGCTGAACATACATACAACTAGCTAATTCAAATGAATGCAAACAGCAGGTAAGAGACAAATGTCACTACTAAAACCTACTTTTCTGAGCGACCGAGGACAGAAATCGCCTGGCGAACCACATCCTCGTTAATTTAAATAAGTAATAGTTCGTTTTAGCTACAACATCATCCAGGTTGAACCACTTTTTCTTGCTCTTTCGGTTGTTGTCCGACGGCTTTCGACACCCGGCGTGGCACCGCAGACCACTTCCATTGGTTCCGGAGTTGTTCTTCGTGTTTCCTGGCGGATTGCGGGGCCGACACCGCCACTTGCTGTATGGCGGTGTGTAGAGTCACTGAGAAAGGACTAATCTTCTTAGATACAGCAATACAATTTATCTGGGGTTGAGGGGTTGATTTTTTTAAAATTTTTTTTATGTTTACATACCGCATTATATTAGTGAGTGAGGGTAGATTCAACTGAGTATAATAAACCTATCTTAGTACTGTGCAATACAATTTAACAGCACCACTACCAGTGGTGGGCTGTAACTAAACTATAGCCTATTTACTCAAGAACTGAACATAAGTACTTTAGTATTTTATGACACCTAATACTTCTACTCTAACTATATTTAGCAGCTTTACTTATTTCTCTGATTAAGATCTGACATCCATAAAATGTGATTTATAGTTTATAAAATGGGTTGAATTGAAATAGATTAAACTATGCAACCACATAAAGTAGTAGACTATTTGTAGTTCAAATTTCAAACTTCCACCAGATGAAATATGAAAATGCTGCTTACACAGTAATGCAACACTGAGAGGGGCCATTTCTTCATCCAAAACACAGTCACAGTGTAGACTCATCTGGTCAGTTACACTATTACACATGACATGGGCTTATACTTATTGATAACAAGTTAATTATTCTAAATTTATATTATCAATAAAATAGTAGGATAAAAATGTTTTAATTAGTGCTGATAAACCAGACCTCATGAAATAACTAATAGTTTGTGAAGAATGTGATTAGACCTCTGCTCAGGTTAAAGTTGAATAGAGCTCTACTGGGAATTAAACAAGGGCATCCAAATCTGTATAGCTACTATTAAAAAAGATAAATGTAAAAATTGTCCTGCCCTAACAAGTGCAAAAACTAAAGAAAACAAAAAACGCAACAGGAGAGTCAGTCAAGTACAGTTAGGTTTAGGATGAGCTAGAAAATTGTTACAGGTTGGCATTTAATGTTTCAGTGTATTTATTTACAAAGTCTCCAATTAATAAAGATAAGTATTTTGTTATGTCTAGCCTGCATTTAATGAATTGCAAAATAAGCCTAAATGTACAACAGTGTGCCTCTAACATCTCCCCCACACCAGCCAAACACAGTTTTCTATGAGCTACATACAAGTCTATCAGTATGACATTGTAAGTCAGTCACCCTGTTACATGGTGACGTCTGTTCCACTTCCTTTCTCTGTTATTTCTGGACCTCTGCGTTTGTGTGCAGAACAATAAACTTCATGATGCTGTGCTGGTAAGAGGAAATGCTGGGCCACTGGCCAGTGAGAAGGATTTGTGTTTTTCACCTGCTACAGAGCAGACTAGCTCTACATCAGTTAATGCGCAAAAACAATATGGAGTTAATACCTAGTAGCTCTTTTGTTGGTACTTAGCTGTCAGTCTGACAGAAGCAAACTGCCTTCACCTATGGCCAGTCTGGATAGAAATAACAAAATCCTGTTCGATTTAGTGCAACAGCCAGGTAACAACGTATGCGCTGACTGTGGAGCTCCCGGTGAGTACACTGACAAAGCTTTATGACCACAATAGGATTATTTTTAAATGATATCAACATTGTTGTGAATGAACACGTTTTCTTTATTTATATGTGTAAAGAATGGAAAACTGCGCCATCAGGATATGTGACGTTGTTTGTTAACATAACTACCTCCAAAGTAATATTTTACAGCCAAGTCACGTTTTAAAAGAAACTTTCATTAGGGTAAGTGGTGGCTGCTGTATATTCTGCAGAATGACCTCATTGTTCCTCGCATAGCCCCCCCCCCCGACACTGTTGCCGTCGCTGACCAGCAGTTGTTAAGCTGATGATACGCGGAGCAACTTTTAGAGCACTCGTGTTGGGCAACGTTGCCGTCAGTGGTAATGAGTAAAGATTACTACCGTAATCCCCTTCCGCCACCACTCCACCACTCGCCCCGCACCGCCGCTATCCGTTCAAAACATAGTCGGACTTGCCTCCAGCAAGATTGCCCAGCAACATTGCTCAAAAAGTTGCCCTGTGTATCATCAGCTTTAGAGTGTGAGTGTCTGTGTGAGAGAAAGAAATTAAATGCTTAAATTAAACTTTCTGTTCAATGTAACATCAGATTTGTAGTGCACATTACCCTAAACTGTTATTGTCACTTTTATTGTACTGTGGTCTGTATTTGCTCCTCCCACAACTAGAGTTTAATGAGTAGGCCTATTTAGTTCCTTCTAACAGTGTAAACATTGTGCTATGTGTTTTGCTCACAGAGCCTGACTGGGCATCCTACACTCTTGGTATCTTTGTGTGCCTGAACTGTTCGGGGCTTCATCGTAACTTGCCTGCTGTCAGCAAAGTGAAATCCATACGCTTGGATCTCTGGGAAGATTCACTTGTAGAGGTATAGATATCTTGTTTGTAGTCATTTTAAATGGCTGACTAATAACATGTATTGATCGTTTATTCAATGTACATTTTTATATATTAAAAATGTGCACCATCCACTTCACACTGGGACAATATTAATAGGTATATACATATTGATAAATGTTTACCTTTGAATTTTTATTCTTTATATTTCTTTTTTCCTTTGCTAATTCATTCCCCTCATTCTATGTGTTTTTCTTTATTTCACACTTTTCTTTATTACTTTGTAGCATTGCCTCTAGATATGTCACTTTGCTGCATATTCTATAAGCATGTGACAGATAAAACCTTTCAATTTTGAGTCTTGAAACCTAATCTTACCACTGTGTTAATACTCTATTCTGGGATCCGTCTCATGAGTCTTGGATGACTTGGTTTTATTAAGTCAGTTGTCTTGCAAATGGAGTAGTCCTGCTCTGCAAGACGGGGATCTACAGACACAAAATGAAGTGAATGAATATTGTCTTGTCTCAACTTATGTTTTTTGTTAAACTTGTGGTTGCAGTTCATGCGGGAAAGGGGAAATTCAGCAGCCAAAGCCATTTATGAGAAGTGTGTCCCTGGCTTCGTTTACCAACCTCAACAAAAAGACTGCGTGTGAGTAACCGTCAACACATTCACCATCCATTCACTTCATTAGTGAGGAAGAGGAAGTGAAAAGTGAAGACTCAACTAATAGCGTTTTTAGTGAATAGGAGTGGAGAGGTACATTGTGGTAAACAAACAAGGTGGAGCTACTACAACAGACAGTATGCATTAGACTCATGCATTTACTTAAAAACTTGTGTTTCATCCATAAGGACGTGGTAATTCTGTGTTTTGCGTTGCTTTTAGTGTTCTTAAAGATCAATGGATCCGTGCAAAGTATGAAAGAAGAGAATTCACAGGAGAAAACAACTATCTTCAGCAATTTTATAGCTCAGGTAATTATCCTGCAGTTATTCTGACATAGAAATATTATTCCCATCAGCACAAGATTCAGAGTTCTGCATTTGTTTTGTCTGTTGCTTTCCCTCTCTTTTATTTATTTATGTGTCTAACCCAGACCAGTTTGAGTCAACACTGTGGAAAAAGGGCAAACACAAAAAGCAGTTTTTTAAGAGGATCTTCCTGCTTTCCCGGAAAGACTTCACCCTGAGATACTTTCTCAAAGAGGATGTGGGTCATTCGTTTGCCATATCATCATTTAGTTTACAATGTTTTATGAGCATACACAGGTTACAGTCCAACACCTTTTTGTTTCTAATCCTTCCTCAATCCTCTCTTTAAAACCAAGTCCAAGCTCCCCAAAGCCATAATCTCCATGAAGGACCTGAATGCAGTTTTCCAGCCAGAGAAGATCTGCCATGCGCACGGTCTGCAGATCTCCTTTCTGCACGACGGACGTATGAGAAATCTGTTTGTTTATCATGAGAACGGACAGGTGAGCTCAAGTGCTATTCTATTTTCACTTTAAACAGATAAATGTCTTAACTTTGCAAATGTAAGCAGACAAAACCTGTCGCGTGGACAACGCATCAGTGCATGTACAGAGTGTCTTAACGTTAAATCTCACACCAGGTCAAACTTGCCATGCCAAAATGTGTATGGGTGTGGGTGTATATATAGACTAACAGGGTGATAAACATCAAATAAATCCATTAGCATACCACTGATATATCCAAATATGTTATAAGCTAGAACAAGGACAACCTTAAAATGTAATAAGTCACATCAGCTAATCTCCACACATATGAATTTTATTTAACATACACAAAGATATGTGTGTCATGGTCAAGACTATGAAGAAATAACAACAAGAAGCTCTCTGTTTTTTCCCCTAAAATGTATGAAACTGTCAAGACAGTACACTTGCATGGATGCAGTGTGTTTTTTTTAGTCTTCCTCAAATGCTCTCCTATATCTGATGCCTTATAGGAAATTGTATCCTTGTTCAATGCTATTCGGGCAACGCGCTTGGCGTACCTCCAGAAGAAACATCCCACTCTTCGAGATAATGACGTAAGACAAATTTTCAAAACAGTTAGCTTCGATAGATTGTGAAAGTTAAAGTGTTAAACTGCAACGTTTGCTCAGTTAACAGTGTTACCTGTGTTTCTTTGCACAGTTAATACCTCAGATAACAAGACATTCCTTGAAGGAGGGGTACATGGAGAAAACTGGCCCAACGGTCTGTCAGCTGTCTGAATTTATCAAAGAAATCTATTGGATTTATTTATCGTTGTTATATAAGACAGATTAATTTGATTCCTTCTTTTCTTTGTCTTTCTTTCTCTCCCTCTATGCCCCTTTGTCTGTGTGTGTGTGTTCATGTATGTGTGTTTTCAGCAACGGGAGCCATTCAAGAAGAGGTGGTTCATACTGTGCTCAATAAACAGAAAGCTTCTATATTTTAAAACTCCACTGGTAATTAACAGATAATACCACAGTGTCTACAGTGCGTGTGAAAAGTGACTGTGTAAATAAATAAATAAATCCAAAATAGTACCTATATATGTATATTAATAATAATGAACAATAATTCTAATATGCTCTAAAAAAAAATACAGTGATTATGCATTCAAACAAACTGCCTTTTTTGGAAGTGGACAGCATTTCCAGATTTTAATCAAATGCAGATGTTAGCCTGATTTGAAACAATACAGAGTGTTTGCAGTTAACTACACTTGTGCTCTTCTGTAAACGCATCTCTCTGCTATTTGTTTTGACTGTTAGGATGCTATGGAGCTGGGTTCTGTCTTCATTGGCACAGAGAGCCATAGCTACTCTGTTTCAGAGAGCAGCGGCCGGAGCACAAGGGGAGGCCGCTGGCACTTCAGCATCACGCTGCAGACTCCAGACAGGCCGTACGTGTTCATGTGTGAGCATGAGCAGGAGCAGAGGGAGTGGCTAGAGGCCTTCAGAAAGGTCATCTCTCAACCTATGACCCCAGAGGACTACACTAGTAAGATACTGTTGTTACACTTTAGCTTGTATCCTTTGTGTGTGTGTATCAGATGCCATAAACATGACTTAATTTGTGCACACACACTCCTCTCTCTTTCTTTGGTATAGATGAAGCCAACTTGAGAAGGGGAAAATAACTGGAAGATTTCCACCTGCTGGTTTGAAGGAGTTCAGGATGCAATAACAATCCTTCTTGGACATAAGAGACTGAAAGCCTTACTTTCAAAAGATGCTCCTGAATTTGTCAGTGGGGATTTAAAAAATGGAGACAAACTCTCTCTTTTACTAAGTACAGCTGCTCCTTCGTAAGATTGATGCATTTCAGAAGCAATATCTGTTAAAGTTGCCATTGATGTTGCCACAATGCAATGCGTTATGAATAAACTGGAACCAAATATTGTATTTATTAAAAATAAGGACTATAGGCTAGTTGATGTATAATTGTGCTTTTTTTTTGTAGTTTCTGTTTAACTCATCTTTCTTATGCTGTTTCATTGTAGCTGTCAGAAAAGTTGTAGCCTAACACTGAAAGCTCTTCATAATTTTAATAAACTGAATACACAATTGATTCCTGCTTTTAATATTATTTACTATAAATCGAAAGATAGAGCCTTAAAGCAACACCTGCATGATACTTAGTCTTGAGGCCCTGTCTAGTAGAAGCTTAAGGGCTACTTTGTAGACCTTTGTTATATATTGTGCTTACATGGTGCATTTCTGTAAATGTGTGTGCATTAAACAGACGCTGCAGAACCTGTAGCGTTGTTGCTTTACTTGCGTCTTGGGTCTCCACCGTAGGGCTCGGGGTTTGACCACATCCACGGTCTTTAACAGGCGCTGTCGAGCTGGGGAAAAACACAAGCGCCTCACTCCGAGCCATTCTACCAGTACCAGAAATATCAAGCTAACCATCATCATAATTAGAGTCTTAAGTCTAAGTTAATATTAGGATCTTGGGTCTGTACCTTAAGTTACAATTTGTGATTGTATTTATTAGTTTCAAAAGACGTCAAATGCTTCTGTTAGCAATATACGATCTTTGCTCGCCTCAGTCAGCTGAATCGGAGGGGCGTGGCGGTAAGCAGTGTGAAGTTAATGTGTAGATTAGCTGGCTGGACACATCAGCGACAGGACTGACTGACCTGACTGTGACAGGCAGCTAGAATATAGCAAAACACCTTGTTAGTATCCCGGATATCTAGAGGATAGTACAGATATCTATCGGTGTACCGTCTCTTCTGAACCAGCGTAAACCGGAGCTGAAATGCGAACGTAGCCGTTAGCACGCAAGCCAGGCCGAGGAGAGCTGGCTGGCTGTATCCTTCATCCAGACAGGAGCGTAAATGTTTCACACATACCACTTTACCGAGCTCGTCGACGCCGGAGAAGATGCGCAAGGACGTGAGGATATTATTAGTGGGAGAGCGTAAGTAAAGCTGTCATTCACACTGTGTTGGTCAGCAGTAATTGACTGCACTGATGCTACCAGCTAGGCATGAGATGCTGACAACCAGACCAGTGTCATGATGATGGTGTTCATTTCAGTCCTTTCATCCCTTTCGCTTAACTTCTGGTGTGTGTTATTGTGTTTTAATTTGTCTGTCTGTAACCTATTGTTTTTGCTGCATATCTTGGCCGGGACACTCTTGAAAAAGATGAAAAATATATGTTTAGGTCCTAACCAACAGAAAGACAGATAAGATATTGCTTTCCTGAAGAGAGCACTGATATCACTACAGATCATCATTGAATTCATGGAATATCGTGGAATTTAGGGATGTGTGAACTCCACACAGATGGGGGATTTTATTTTCCAGAATCAAACCACCTTCACTCTGTGGTTACTTCTCAGCGCGAGGCTCAGCTGTTTTAGAAATTAGATTGCTTTCAGGTTATTAACAGAGCATTTAGGAATGACGTTTGTAATTTAAGAGGGTCTCTGGCAGGAAGTCGCGGGGAAGTCCGGTGGTTTTTAAACGGTGCTAGGATGAAAGATTGCACCCATCATCACTGAAACCTGCCTTGTGGTTTGTATTAATGTCCATAATGTGAAGTCTGTCTCCCAGTCACATGCCTCAATGGCATGTTACACTCAATGACAATTACTGTCATGTTAGATTAATAAATGATGTCCTTACAGCTAAAATATTAATAGAAATTGTAATGGGTGTATGAGAGGATCTCCGGAACAGTCTTTCTCATTTGTACTGAACTCTCCCTCCTCTTGTTTCATCGTCCCTCGGCAGCCAAAGTGGGGAAGACCTCTCTCATCATGTCCCTGGTCAGCGAGGAGTTCCCAAATGTGGTATGGATAAATAATTATGTCAGATTTGACTGTAGTATTGAAGACCTCTAATCAATTGCAAACATGTCCATGTAAGTGATAGCCAAGTTATGTTCACCCTAGGTTCCCTACCGAGCTGAGGAAATCACCATACCTGCAGATGTCACACCAGAGAGAGTTCCTACGCACATTGTGGACTATTCAGGTACTTTAAGCCTGTGACTGTTTCTTTCTTTGACTCTGCAGTGGCTGACAAATGTTTTTTGGTTATTTAACTGTATTCAATTTTGGTAATCTTTTTTTGTGAAATTGTAAATATACAAAATTGTGTCTCCAAATCAGAAAGAAGAGCACTCTGCTGGTTTTAACGGTAGCACATTTTCTTTCTCCTTCAGAGGCAGAACAGACAGATGAGCAGTTGTTTCAGGAGATTGCCAAGGTCAGTCAGTGTGTTGCGCTTTTCTGTTAACATGGAGATAAGTGCTGAGTCAAGGTATAAGCCTAATGGTCTGTGTTTGCGTCTCTCATAGGCAAATGTGATTTGCATTGTCTACTCTGTCAACAACAAGACATCTATAGAAAAGGTGAGATAGCTCTGTTGCTAGCATTTCCATAATATGTTTGTAAAGCAGTATAACTTGTGAGACTATCAGTGTGACTGCGTGTCACTTTAATTTGAAGTTGTCTTTCAAAATAGTGATGATCTTTTATGTTTTTATCTTTTCTACCTTTTGTTTTCCATAGGTGACCAGCCACTGGATCCCCCTCATTACGGAGAACACAGACAAGGACAGCAGGTGTGAACTCGAATTACTCAATTTTGGGCAGTGAAATAATAGGGTGAAGAGAGGGCACCATTTGTCACAGCACCGCCAGCTCTTAATGCACGATCAACCCAGTGGAAAGTGTGCAAAAGACAATTGTCTGTTGCAAGAGGCCAGCCATGGAATCCCTCTACTAGTGTTTGAAGTGATGACCCATAGTCACAGGGTATACACTGTGTTGCCTCTGTGTTCAGTCCATCAGGGAAAAGGCGAGGAATATATTATATTATTATTTGATCCTGTGCGTGCTGCAGGTCTCTCTCTCCCTCTCCTCCTGCGCTGTGTGCATGTAGTCAGTGTGTGGCATGTAGGGCAGGCGGCTTCTCTCTCACTCTTTCTTTCCGGATCTCTGGATTAAGATGTTCCTACAGGTTCTACATATGTAAATAGTTTGGGTGATCTTCTCCCTTTGTATTTTAAAGTATTTTTTCACTCTTTTCATTCAAATATATGATGTTCCTGTAGTGAGATTGTGATTATTTGGCCAAAAATGTATCTATCTACCCTTTTCTTTTTCTTTTTTTTTTTTTTTTTTTAAATACGGTGTAATCTAAGGTGATCTCTCCTTAACCGCTCCAAGCTTTGTGCAAAACATTGCATGGTGACATCATCAACATGCAAGTCAGCATATAATTTTAGCAACTTATGGAGCTAGTGCTAGATACTTTAATTGGAAATGATTTGGCAATAAAGGGTGGACAATGTCTGTCAAATGCTTCTCTGTAAGCAGGGAGCAGCGGTGGAAGAGCAGATTCGGCCTTGTTCTCCCTTTGGTGTTGTTGGAGATTTTCACTGCGAAATGAGTCACAGCTTTTCTGGGAGGAAAAAATACAACAGTACATAAAAGACAAGTACTCTTTTGCGTGTGTGTTGTTGTGTATTCAGGGTTCCTCTGATCCTGGTGGGCAACAAGTCGGACCTGGTGGAACACAGCAGCATGGAGACCATACTGCCCATCATGAACCAGTACAGTGAGATAGAGACTTGTGTTGAGGTGAGAGGGGAACAAAACATCATCATTTAACCTTTTTTTGTTTTTTGTTTTTTTGTTGATTTGCCTGAAAAATACTAATAATACCATTTTCAAGTAACACGGTAGCAATGCTATTGATTTAGACGACAGACACAGACATGTTGCCCAGTGCATGAGGACAAGAGGGACATAAACACAAACGTCTTCTGTAGTCCATGAATTAAACAGAACATAAAGAAGGGGAAGAAACGGGACAGCAGTTCAACAATAACTGCCAACTTGTAGGAGCCAAGAGGAACAGTATTGTTTTTAGGTCAAAATAGAGTTGAATGGTTTTTACAAGATGACAGTGTAGAAACAGAATATCTGCAGAAAAGAAATGACCCAAACTAAGAATATTTTCTCTCCCTATCTTGTCATTTACAGTGACATCTGTAAAGCCCTTTACAGCCTCTGCTCGTACACGTTAATGTTTATGATCCTCACTATTAACTAAACTGAACATGTGTGTTTCCCCCTTATAGTATGTCAATTTGTCAGTTTACAGTAAGGTGATTTTTAACTTGGTGAACTGCCAAACTCTGGAAGATTGATTGTTAACTTGTAAACATTAACCTAACTGACCATTCTGTCAAGGGTATTTCTGTTGCTGCCCTTTTTTTTGCTTTCCATGACATGATGTTCACTACATACAAGGTTTACAATGACGAGGCCTGACATTGTTATTGTGTTATATTGATGTTGTTTCTTTAACTGGCATACAGTTATGAGCGAAATTAGGAACGACAGCATAAGAGGACTTCATACTTGACACCGGCCATGAGCTTAACTCAAACCCACAACAGGAGGACTGCCATACAGGACACATGTCTGAGCAAGATGAGCGCGCTCCTGATGTTTGAGTGAAATCGGCACAAACAAAAGCAAAACTCTGCTCTAGTGCTAATGTCACTGTCTGTTGTGTTACTCTTTACTCTAACACTGATTACTATCTACTAACAGGGCAGCACCTTTCTTTTTTTCAGACTGGTTAATTATACCAGGCACGTCGTTCAGACAGATCCTGTGTGTTAATACCCTGTCTGGTCCTGACTTAACACACATAGACACACACAGACAGGTAGGTAAACAGGGGTGGCCCTGCTTTCCTAGGACACGGTTTGCCACATCGCAGTCATGTAGAGCCGCACTGTATTTTCACAGGGTTACAAAGGTGTTAAGGTCTCTTTATGCTACAAGGCAATGTGCAGTATTGGAAAAACGGTATATATATATATGTATAAGCAAACAGCCTTCTTCCTTTTATTTTGTTGTTTTGTAGTGTTCAGCGAAGAACCTGAAGAACATCTCAGAGCTGTTCTACTATGCTCAAAAGGCTGTTCTGCACCCCACAGGTCCGCTCTACTGTCCAGAGAAAAAAGATGTAAGAGCAGAAACACACAGTGTGAATTTTGTCCCACTGTTTTTGTGATCCAGTGCAGCTTTTTTTTTTGTATTTGAAATCTCTATGAATTTAAATTTGAGTTATGCAATTCTGTTTTTCAGTGTCTTTGTTGCAGTTTCACGTCAATCCACAATTCTGTCTGGAAAATGAATATGTCACTTTTGATTTTTCTCTTTGACTCCCAGATGAAGACACTTTGCATAAAAGCCCTGACTCGAATCTTCAAAGTTTCTGACTTAGACAATGATGGGATTCTCAATGATCATGAGCTCAACTTCTTCCAGGTAATTCATCTGATGATTGTCACAGCTCACAATGTGACCATTGGGTTTCAGAAGAAGTACAATTTGCACAGGACCTCTTTTTTTGTGCTAGTTTTGACAACAGTGATGTTTTTGTGTGAATGCTCACAGCGGACGTGCTTCAACACCCCACTAGAGCCTCAGGCGTTGGAGGATGTAAAAAATGTGGTGAGGAAGAACTTGAGTGACGGAGTGTGTGACAACGGACTCACTCTGAAAGGTAGGATGGACCAGCCTCCTCCTCTTGTTTATGCACACACACACACACACACACACACACACATTGTGCAGCATGTTTTGTGACTGTATTGTTGGGCATTTCTGTAATATTCTTTTCCAGGTTTCCTGTTCCTCCACACCTTGTTCATCCAGCGAGGTCGCCATGAAACAACATGGACAGTGCTGAGGAGGTTTGGATACGATGACGACCTGGAGTTAAATCAGGACTACCTCTTCCCTCCGTGAGTCTTGGCCTTGTTGTTTTAGACACCAACCACCAACTCCATCCTGCGTGCCTTTAGCTCTGCCTTATTAAAACCTGCAGTGGATTATGATTACATTAAAACACTTCTTTTGTTCATCAAATTATTTCCCTCACTGTGTGGACATGATTGATACTATTCCTCTTTTTTGGGTTGCCTATTAAACATAACGTTCCAACATAAAGTTCCCTTTTTGGTTCAGTTTAATCAAGAAACATCTGTCTTTCACTTATAGTCAAACAGTCGGTGTTGTTAAGCCCTTGAATTAGATATTAGATTCCGTACTTGACACAGTGCTATAGTTATTAGCAGGAATGGATTAATAGATAGAGGATTATGCACATTTTCACCTACAGTGTTTGCTGGGGATTACTTTATAAGTGAACTGTAATATTTATCCTCTTATTTCATCTTTGTAGTAATGCTGATCTTGTATTCTTCCCAGGCTCAGTGACTTTAACATTTACTTTGCAATATTTCACTCTTCTCTAGGTTGAAAATTCCTCCAGACTGCACCACAGAGCTCAACCACAATGCCTACCTCTTCCTCCAGAGCGTCTTTGACAAACATGACAAGGTACAGTCCTGTGCACCTGGTTCTGTATTTATTTTGGCTTCTGGCCTAGAGAGGCATTTATAGGAAGCTGCTCAGTACCCGGCACCTCACAACACCAAAATACCCTTCCACAGCCAACACTGACCACCTGCTGCGGCGTGAATTAGAGAATTAGCTGTGAGGTTCAAATGAAAGTCAAAGAGTGATAGTGGCAGCTTACACCATGATCTGCTTTCTGTCATGGAGATTAGTGTCCAACTGTGAAAAGTGTGCTTCAGTCATGTTTGTTTTTCTCAGGTAGAAATGAAAGGCAGCAAACTAAGGGAATTATTTTCTTGAAATCAACTGAGCAAGGGCTCAGTTTACCCCCCATCCCTTTACTTCAGTTCACCATCCTGAACAGTAACCAACCTTTGTGTTTATCAGGACCGTGACTGTGCCTTGTCACCAGAGGAGCTGGGGGACCTGTTTGAGGTTTTTCCCTACATGCCCTGGGGTCCAGATGTCAATAACACAGTTTGCACTAATGACCAGGGCTGGATCACCTACCAGGGATATCTCTCCCAGTGGACGTAAGTGGCCATTAATAAGTCAAATTATTATCAAGCTAAAAGTGAATTAAAGCCACTATGTGCTGAATTGGAATTTTTCTGACTTTGGCACCCACTAGTAGTAGTATCTAAAGTACCATCTTTGATCCTTTTCATAAACTTCCCTCTCCGAAACCACAAACTTGTTTAAATAGATTGAAATATTAAAATCAACTTGTGTTGTGGTGTCATTGTGCAGATGTTACTCTTTCATTGATGCTGGTTTCTGGTAGCTCCATGTCATGTTCATATAATTAGTCTCCTTCCAATGTAGTGTACTACTGTCGAGGACCAAAAGCTGGCTTTGAATGCTTGGTCAGATTCATAATCTTGTTTACTTAACCTTTCAATAGATTTTTCCTCATACAGATGCTGTATTTTATTTAGGCAACAACACAATTAAACGCCGATGTATTTGGATTAGTTTATTGAATAGAAAAAAAGGTTTAGTAGAAAAGGTTTTTTTTTTTTTTTTTTTTATATTCCTCAGTGTGAGCTATCTGGGGAAAAAAGTATTGTTTTCTTTTTAGTACTGAGACTCCGGTATCATATTGCCACCGATACAAAACACCTATTTACAAGTATTTCCCATGGTGGGTGGATTTAAAAAAAACCCACATTATGTCAGTCAAGTTGGTTTCTATATTTAATTTAGCCTGTTTTGCCTTACATCCAATAAGGTTAACAACGTATCTGGATGTCCAGCGATGCCTGGAGTATTTGGGTTACCTTGGTTACTCAATAATTGCTGAACAAGAGTCCCAAGCAGCAGGGATTACAGGTAAATACTTATTATTGTGTCTTTTTCCATTTTTGTATTTATATTCAAGATGACGACTTGTAGATTTACGTAAAAAAGTTGATGGCAACGCCACAGTCTTGCTTGTAATGACGACATTTGGCAAGTTTTCATATACATTCATACATTCTAATGGTAAAGGCTGGACTATTATTGAGTGTCATAAGCTCATTGTCTTGTTACGGAAATTGCCTTTGAGCTATTTTACTCATCAGTCGTGCTGTCAGTAATCACATCAGTTAATCAACACTGTCATAACAGTGGTGACGCAACAGCTCATTCTGAATGTTGTTGCTGACTAACCGCAGGCATGTGTTGTGTAAACTGAACTGATTTCTGATGCCCCTGCGTGGTTTGCCCCCTGCAGTGACCAGAGATAAGAAGATTGACCTGCAGAAGAAGCAGACCCAGCGCAGCGTCTTCCGCTGTAATGTCTTTGGAGACATTGGCAGCGGCAAGAGCGGCTTCCTCCAAGCCTTTCTGGGTAGTAACCTCATGGTAAATGGAAATAAACACCAGATATGACACATTTTAATGCATACTTTGCCCTCACAGGTGGTTGACGATTTCCCAGATGTAACTTTCTCCCCAGGGATGCTGTAAAAAGAAAACATTGCACTGAAATATTCCAAGCCAGATATGTCATGTTTCCCCCCCCCACTTAGTCAAAGATTACAGTTACTATCACAACAGACTTCTTATTCTTGCACATATGGGATCGTATCACTACAGACTGACATAGATTTTTTCTATTGCTGCATGTAACCATTGCTTGCAGTCAGTTGCAAGTCACATAATGTTTCATCTCTTCTCTCAGCGCCAAAAATTGATCAGAGAGGAACACAGATCCTACTATGCCATCAGCACAACCTATGTTTACGGCCAGGAGAAATACCTTCTTGTGAGTATCAAAGATACCTCTAGTATTACCTGAATTACTAGCAATCCCTTTGCATTTATGACTTGTGTCTTTACACAGCTTTTCCAGCGCTATGAACAACAAGTATAATAATGGACAAATATTAAATATATTAACATTATATTATAAAAAAACATAATTTGTATTTATATGTACCGCTATGCATTGTGTGTGAGATGGTCAACTGTGAACCATCAAAGCGAGACCAGCATGAGGTTGGCTGTGCTTACCTCAGGCTGTTTGTATAATCTTCTTACCATGCTCATCTAATGCTTTTGTCAAGCAAGCACTTCTACTTGCTTGACAAAAGCATTAGCATTGTGTTACTTACTTGCAAACATATTACGATTTGCATGTGCTGTTATAGTACATACCTGAAACACTGCTGGTTATGTGCAGTATAATAAACTTAATTTGTAGCTGCATAAACATATCCTACTGTTCTTTCTACTATCCATTACTGACAGGAAATGATGTCCGTAGTAAACCAGGCCTCTAGAGCTGGCCACAGTAAGACTTGGCTGCTATAACATGGGGCTAAAGTTAGCTTTTTTTAAATGAACCTCCTCTCCTCTCAGCTTCATGAAGTGTTCCCTGACTTCGACTACCTGTCTGATGCTGATCTATCCTGTGACATTGTCTGCCTGGTCTATGATGTCAGCAACCCTTACTCCTTTGAATACTGCGCCAAAGTCTTCAAGGTAAAACTGCATGTGCATTGCCCACATTAAATCAAAAGACAAAGGTTCACCCACTCATGGATTTGGAAAACATTTTTAACTGCGCTTTTATTCGTCCCCCCTTTCTCTTTATTATCTTAGCAATACTTCATGGACAGCAAGACTCCATGTATGATGATAGCAGCAAAGTCGGACCTGCCGGAGATCAAACAAATGTATGGCTGCAGTCCCCTGGAGTTCTGCAGGAGGCACAAGATGCCGCCTCCACAGTCCTTCACCTGTAACACCGCAGGAGCACCCAGCAGAGACATCTACACCAAACTTACCACTATGGCCATGTACCCGTAAGTATAGAGACACTTTATTTACATTACTTAAACTTGCACTAGTCAGTTAGTTGATTTTAACTTTGTTACTAAGAAGTCATTAAAATTGATGCAATTAATGTGTATCTGGAGCTGAAATTGATCATATAAAGGACTAAGGTCTGTGGAAAGTTGCACTAGCCAACTAGTCTTGTAATCCTCAGCTACTTATGGCTCTATGAAAATGCAGTTTTGTAACTGCAGCTAAAATCTTGTGATTTAGTCTTTTCCTTCAAAAGAGGTCTGTGTTTTATAATTGGCAATGTAGCTTTTGGTGCAAGGAGATAGAGAACAGAGAACTTTGTTTTATACATCCCCCTGGTTCTGTGGAAAGTTTGAACTAGTCATGTAAATCCTCAGCTACTTATGGTCTGAGGTGATGACGTAGCTCAGTCACGGACTGTAAAATAGACTGTTTTTTTATTGGTATTTAACATTATAAGCTGTATTTCCTGTACGCTTTGAGAATTTCCTGCCAATCTTGACCCAACTGCAGAAATGAATATGTCTAAAACGGGTGGGATAGACGGGATGTTTTTTTTGTTGTTGATGTTTGCAGTTTAAATACAAACTGTGCTCTGTGTAACTTCAGTGACCCTTTCCTTTAACACCTGCTCCCTGTGGAGATGTTCTTCTCTGACAGTATCAGCGTCAGACATGATGTACTTCAGCCTACATGAATGCACTTCACTGCCCTCTGGACATGTTGCACTCAGTCTGATGCCACAGTGTTTTGTATTGTGGTTAAATGGGTTTCCCTGCTGAGAAGTAATTTAGTCATTTAGCTTGCTGTGCATTGTGCAACACACATTGCAGCTCTGCAGATCATTACACACAGCAGACCAGCCATTATTTAATCCACAATATAACGACTATTCTAATCTAGAATCTAGAATATGCTATAATCACTCTGAATTCAAAGAAAATACTGCATTTGGTTAATTTGAAAATTATTTGAGGAGTAATTCTGAACACTGTCTCTTGGCAATAATCCAGTCAAAAAAATCTTTTAGACATTTGTGTACTTGATTCCTTCTTTCAAATGACTAGATAATCCCATTGCATCTCCTCGAGGGATCTCATTTGAGGAAGGTCTCTTGTCGTCAAAATCTGTTTTCATTGTCGTTCATGGATGCTGGCTCTCGGGTGGTGAGCCACAACCTACTCATTTCATGGCGGTGGCATCTTTGAACTCCATCTTGCCTTTCTTCCTGTTTGTCTTCCCCGTACCTCTCCTCAGCCACGCCCGGCTACGCTGCATGTGCACTTGTAACCGGTGCACCTTCTGCTTGTGTCAGAACTTCCTCAACTCCGAGCTGCTGCAGACGGTCAGGGCCAAACTCTACGCAGTCGTACTCAGAAGGTCCTTTTTAAAAATCTTTTTTCAACCCTGTCTTTACCTCTGACTACCTCATAGATTTGTCACCGTCATCAGCCCAGGCTTGACCCATTAATTTCTTCTCATTTTTTTGCTTGCTTTTTTTTTGAAAAATTGTTTTATTTTTAGGGATCGATTTCCCAGAGGTTAAAATACACTAGTAATTACTTCTAAGTCTGTATTTAAGTCACTCTTGTTTCCCACACCATATTCTCCTGCTGCATTTCTCCTTCCCCCTTGTTTCATATAGTAAGATTCCTTTTAAGTTTATTCTTTTTCCCCCAAGAAACCATTCTGATGTATTCAGTTTTCCTTTCTTTGATATTGCTTGTGAGCTTCCTGTAGTAGGATGTATTTTTCTATTTTGATCTCAGTCTAATTGTCATTCGGTCGGTATCAGCTTCCTTATTGTTGTCTTCTCCGTCATGTGACTGCGCCTCAGCCATCTCATCTAACGAAGATGTCATATTTAATTGCTGGTCTTGTCGTCTCATGTCATAACTATAATCCTGCATGTCCCTCGTCTGTTTGACTGGCTTTTGCTTCAGCATCTCCATATTTTGAGGCACCATCACTGTTCTGTTCAATTCATCTGTGTTTTGTTAATGTTCATGTTACTTATTTTCACATCATCCTCCTCAGCAACACCTCTCACTACTGAGGCTTCCATTCTTCACTTTTGTTTCAGAGATATTAGTTCAATAGTTGTTTATTGTATCAGTTTGGTTTAAGTGATGCATTAACATTGTTCTCAAATTCAAACAGAACGCTAAGAGGCTGTATATGTGTATCTAACTCTGACTAAGTTATGAGTAATTTATGATGTAGTAAATCGCCATTACTTTTTACTCTCTTTCTCTTTTTATTTGTCGTCTCCTTATCTCTTTCCTTATCTCTCTTGGGCCTGCTCTCTCTCCGTTTAACAGGCATGTGAGCCAAGCTGACCTGAAGAGCTCGACCTTCTGGCTGAGAGCGAGTGTCGGGGCCACAGTGTTTGCAGTGTTGGGCTTCGCCATGTACAGAGTGCTGCTCAAACCACGGTGATTCTCGGGCACCTGGGTCTGACCCTCTTTACCCAAATAGAGCTATTTTGACCAGTCACAACATTAGGCTTTCCCAAATGAAAATAGTTTTGAAAATCTGTCATGGTTTTGTAGTTTGAGTACCAAACTGGGTATTTTGTTTTTGCAGGGGGGAAATGTGTGAAAGCTTACCTTAGCAAACAGCAAACATTGTTCCTTTTTTTTGTTTTGGCATTTTCATTCCACTTAACTGGATTTCTCTCGTTGGGAATAAAAAAGAAAAATGTTTAATTTTGTACCAAAATTGCTAATTTGCTTGATATGTTTGTCTGCAAGTATTTGCAAAGTAAATTATCTATATTTATACTGAAAATGAGGGTAAGCTTTTCGGCTGTGGTGAGTAACATATGAGTGAGTGTATAAAGCTATTTTTTAGTTGCTTGCTGTCACTTGTAATATGGCTTGTGATATGTGAGTTATACAATAGCACTGATGCTTTTATTAGACTTAACTATATGTAAAGTGTGTGTGTGTGTGTGTGTGTGTGTGTGTGTATATATATGACAGACTGACATACATTTGCTTGTCTTTGTCGAAAAGGGTCAACGTGTCTAATTCTTTCAAAATACTGAATGCAAAGATCACAACTCGCACAAACGTTAATTAGCATTGATTATTCAAGGTGAAAGGTAACGGTTTGCCTTTCAAGGCCAAACTCTTGGACGCACACTTGTTTAAAAATGTTTGTACTTCTGAGCAGGCCAGTGCTTGAATAGTGGATGTGAATATGTTGAAGGGTCTGCTGCTCTCTCTCAAGTCTTCCCACGTTGGTCACTTTATTTATCAGCACGTGCGTGGGTGTATGTGTGCTAGGATATTGAAAATCTACACTTTACAGCCATTCTGTACATTTTGTGTTTGCATGCTTCAGAAATTCACGACCACATTCCAGTGTTTTAAGACTTACTGTGCAAAAGAGTCACGATGCCGACTTCTCCACATTTCTTTCCAGCTCCCAGTAATCCAGGGATGTAGTAAAGTTTATCGACAGGAGTGCTGATAGGGGTGCGGATAGGTAGTTGTGTGTTGAGTCATAGTGAAATTTGATAGTCTTTGACGCTTCTTGTGATTCCCGGTCATCTCTCATGATCGCAGAAGATGCAATAATGTGGCCCCTGATGTTAATTTCCATGCAGCTGCAAGGTTCAGTCAGATGTATCTACTCATCCCCGCCTTTCCAAAAGTTTACAATCAATAAATATGTCTATGACACCTAGTGTGATGAAATGTATTCTTTTCAGTTTATGAAGGGATTTAAATATTTTGCCACTACATGCTTCCAGTGAAAATATTATAGAATAATAACTATTTGATTTATCAACTAAATTCTATCAATAGTTATCACCCAAGGAGTGCTTTAAGAGAGAGACGGGAGAACCAGGCTGCTGCTGGGAAAGATACTATCTCGTGGCCTCAAGATAGTATCTCAGATACTAAGAAAAGAGCCTGCACAATGGAGCAGCTTTTCTCTCCAAAGAAGGGAGTGCACCGTTCCTGCTCCAGCTTCCATCTACTTAAAGTCTCCTTGGGTAGACTTTGGATAGACTAATTGATTAGAAGAAGAAGATAGAAGTTATACTTTATTAATCCCATAAGGGGAAACTAAGTGTTTTCACTCTGTTGTTAATTTTTTGTATTTTACACACAGGTCTGAAATACATATACATACACGCACGCACGCACGCACACGCACGCACGCACGCACGCACGCACGCACGCACAAACAGGACCTATAGGTATAACACCTGGAGAGATGTCAGAGCGAGGGGGCTGCCACTTGGTGCGGTACCCCTTCGTGGTTGAGGATTCAGGGGCTTGCTCGAGGCCTTGGCTGGAAACTGGAGGGTCGCCAGTTCGAGTCCAGCTCGGACCACAGATATGGGGTGTGGACTGGTAGCTGGAGAGGTACCAGTTCACCTCCTGGGCACTGCTGAAGGTGGCCTTGAGCAAGCCCCTGAACCCCCTTCACCCTTGGAGATTGGTTAAAGCCCTGGCGATTTCACTTCATAAAACAGGTTAAACGGCACAATTCAAACACCTTTTACCTCATTTACCGCTGTTTTAACAAAGAAGTGCATTTTCCTGGGGCAATGTATGACAGCCTGAACTGATTATTTGATTAGGCCTACTGTGATACAGGTTACAGGTATAAATACCTGAGAATCTGTCCATCCCAGACTCTAAAACATGTCTGTCTGTCTTTCTGCCTGTATTTTGGCTTGTCTGTTCAGTGGCTGCTCCTCATCTTAATTTGGAGGTCTGTGACCTGGTGCGCCCTGCATGCGTAAAAACATTTGCGGATCGTTATTTATTTGCTGCATTGTTTTTGTTTTTTGTTTTGTAAAAGTAGCCAGCGATAAATCCCAATATTTCCCCGTTTTCCCTCTATAAACTGTCATGCATAGAATTTAAACTGGGACCTGCGATCACATTAACAGGCTAAAAACAAGAATGACTACAAACCTTCAACTGTTTAAAACAGAGGATACAACCTACAAGTAGGATTTGTGTAGGAGAAGATAAGAAATAATATATTGTTGGTTGAACAATAAAAAATATGAAGCCTTAGGCTTTTTGTCATTCATTTGAATTGTAGGCTTTTATTTGGCTTTGATCCCACATGCTCACCACTGCGTTTTGTAAAGAGCGTTATGGCGAATCCATTGCTCTGTTCAGTCCTGACGGGTGTGTTTTATATTGGTAATATAAACCTTATAATTAGGGATCCAAGCAACGAAGCTGCTGGAGCCCTATTGGTTTTTAGGGCCCGGACACAAACCCTGCCAGGTCTTTATTATTCATTCTTTCTTTCTTTCTTTCTGCAAAGTAAGCTCAATTTTGGGGGCCTACACATACTTGAAAACTCCCCAAACTTTGCACAAAATTCAGGAGTGGCGAAAAATTTCGTATTTTATGGATTTCGCGCATGGGCATGGCAAAATAGCTCGCTAGCAGAGCAGCCCCCAGACTAAGTTTCACCTATGTGTATGAAATTTCTGTGGTACGTGTATCATGTCCAGAAGTACAAAAAAAACCTCTTGGAGCCATTGCCTAAACCCAACAGGAAGTCGGCCATTTTCGATTTAATGGTCATTTTTGGTGATTTACACACTTTGTACTGTAACGAACTCCTATTAGGGAATAAATCGGATCGACTTCAAATTTTCTTTTTGCACTCTAAACCCATTGATGATTAAAAGTTGTACAAACGGTTATCACCAGTCGACTGGTTTGCCCGTGACGTGCTGTCAAAAATCAGTGATTCGCCATCAAACAGGAAGTTGTTGTAACTTCAGTGTACATGCTCACATCTGCACTAAATTTGATATGTATAATAAGAGTCCCCCCCAACATTCACTCAAAGCCATAGCGCCACCTGCTGGCAACAGGAAATGACACGTTTTATGTGCTGTACTATTGCTAGCAGGTTGGACATATCAACTTACTGTTCCAGAAAACCCATAACACATTGATGAAGTCATGTTGTAAAAGTTGTGAGTTTGCAGTTAATGGCGTGGGTGGTATGGCAGCAAAGTTCCCCGCTTCGCCATGACAGAGGAAGTTGTTGTAACTCGACTGTACATGCTCAGATCTCTACCAAATTTCACACGTTTAATAAGAGTCCCGCCCTGAACACATGTACATAGTCATAGCACCACCTACTGGCAACACGACGTGATCTTCAACGAAGCAGCCCCCGCACACGTTTTACCTACATGTACAAAATTTCTGTGGCACATGTATCATGTCCAGATGAAAAAAAAACCTCTTGGAGCGATGCTCTGAACACAACAGGAAGTCGGCCATTTTGAATTTTATGGTTTTATGGTTTTGGATGTTTTACACACTCCATACTTTAACTTCTCCTCCTAGAGAATTAGACCGACCGACTTCAGCTTTTACCTGTCTGCTCTAAAGCCCTTGATGATTAAAAGTTGTACAAACGGTGGTTTTTTGCGAAACGGCGTGCCCGTGCCCGTGGCCATGTTGGCGCTAAAAAATGTGGTTATGATTTCGCAAAGTGGGCGTGGCTTATTACAAGAAATGTAAATTTCTAGACATTTCTCATTCCTAACTTGCAAAAAATCTAAGAATCATCCGTTTGTCCTAGAGAGCTGAAATCTTTTCAGCGCATCCACTGATATGTAACTAACGTTTGGCTCACTGCAACATATGGTAAATTCAGTCAGTCACTCCATATTTTTCAGAATATGCTAATTCAATTAACATCTATATCTCCACAAGTCTTTCTTCAAACACTACCAAACTCGAGAGAGTCGTTCTCCAGATGGCCGATATCAAGTGTTTCAAAGGGTTTTCAGATCGGTCCAATGGTGAGTCTGCAGTGATATTCAGTATCTCGCTGTAACTTGTACAGTATGAACAACATTTTCTTTTTAACTCAGTTTTGGATCAAATGCCACCAAAATAATTAACAACACTCCCAAAACCAGCAGATTGATGTGTGATTTTTTTCAGAATTATTTCACCTACATCTTGACTGTTGTAAGCGTTTTCAGTTTAAACTGACAAAACTATCCGGCTCTGGCACATGTGACGTCACCACCTCAAGTTGTCAGAAGGTATGGTGAAACACCCTCCCACCAGTAGCTCAGTCAGTTAGTCATGCTCTGGAGATCTGCAGGTCCAGGGTTGAAATCCCCAGTTGACCAAGTCAGACTTGCTGAAAATGGGGGTGTTCTGGCATTGTAGACGCTATATTGAATACATACCTTTGAAGAAGAAGCAATACAGCAGGGGTCGGCAAATTTAGCATCTGAGCAATTTTAAATGGTGGGTGAAACGGTAGACGGGACAGTTGGTTGCAATTCTTTACCTCACCGCTAGATGCCACTAAATCATCACACTTAACCTTCAATGCAACGGTATATCTATCTTGAATGAGTATCTTTTCTTGACTGGATTGAGTGGTGTGTAGATTAAATGTGCAGTATGAACATGTTCATCCTATTTTAAGTTTTGTCGAAATCATGAAATTTAGAGTCTCCAAACAGTCCTAACAAGGAGGAAACTGGAGCACCCAGAGAAAACCAACAACCCATGCTAACAATATGCATATTGCACACAGAAAAGATGAGTGCCCGACTTCTGCTGTAAGGCCACAGTGCTACACACTGAGCCACCTTGCTGTCCTCATAGAGATCTACAAAGGCTTTACAGCTAAATTCTTGAAAGCAAGTTCTCAGGTGTTTTGCTACAAAATATTCATAGACCTGATCTTGACTCTGCAATGTTGTCCACATTGCAGCAAGACCAAATCATCCTCTTCCACTAAGAGAAGCATCTAATGCAGTTCTACTTCCGGTTGGGCTTGCTGTCTTCTGTGTCGTCCAGGTTGCTGTTGTCCTCCAGAACAGCGGCAGGTGCAGCAACAAGGGTAGAGGTGGAGTCCTCAGATGTGGAAGCTGACACATCACTTTCACTGACGGATTCCTCATCAGATGTGTCCTCCAGCACAATTCTGTTCTGTGGAGGAGCAGGCTGAACTGCAATGAGACCTGTTGGCAGTGTTACCATGACTGCTGCTGCATTTTCCCTATGAAATAAAAAAATAAATAATTTTTACAAATTACTCCATGTCAGTGACGATAAAACCAGCCACTAGCATTGATTTAGTGGAAGTCTGACACCATCTTACCCAATTTGCGATGACACATCTACATAGGTCATCATAATGGTGTCTTTCCTGATGTGGGCCTGCCTGGTGCTGGGTCCTAGCTTTCCAAAATGAAAATAATTTTGAAAATCTATCATAGTTTTGTAGTTTAATAGGTCTCAAATGGGTGGGGGAAAATATTGTTTTTGCAGGAGGAAAATGTGTGAAAGCTAGCGAACAGCAAACATCCTTTTTTTTGTTTTTTTGCATTTTCATTCACTTAATTCACATGTCACTTAACTGGATTTCTCTTCTTGGGAATAAAATGTTTACATTTTTAAAAATGTTTAATTTTGTACAAAAATTGCTAATTTGCCTGATATGTTTGTCTGCAAGTATTTGCAAAGTAAATTATTTATATTTATACTGAAAATGAGGGTAAGCTTTTTGGCTGTGGTGAGTGAGCTTCAGAATTTCACGACCACATTCCAGTGTTTTAAGACTTACTGTGCAAAAGAGTCAATAAATATGTCTATCTATCTTTATTCTTTTCAGTTTATGAAGAGATGTATTTATTTTGCCATAACATACCAGT